GCACTATTCTAAACCTAGATTAACCTTCAAAGAAACCATCCTGGTCCCCGTGTTATCCTCCAGTGGAAACTGAGGCGCACAGAGGCTCAGGAACATGCCCCAGGGCTCCCAGGCAGTGTGGGACGCAGGCAGGGTCTCACAGGAGATGCCCAGTGCAGCCTGGTGGGCTCTGTAGGGAGGTGGTGCCCGAGTGGAGACGTGAGAATCGCGTAGCAGCAGCAGGAGAGGAGCAGAATGGAAAGCAGGGAGGGCAGGGCCAGGGGACTGGGTCTTTCGAGGCTTCACTCACACTCGTTCCTGCCAGCCTGTGGTGTACCAGAGCTGGGCCTCGGGGATTCAGGGGTGAGCTATGGGCACAGTGCCCCATAACAATCCGGGCAGCACAGGGTGCTTTGGGGAGGAGGGTGAAACGGCTGTCAGGAAAGGCTTCCTGGAGGAAGTGAGGTCTAGACTGATTTTGGAAAAGACAAGTAGAAACTTGAGAAGGTGTGTGGAGAGTGGGAGAGAGAGAGGTCCGGGCTGAAGGAACAGCCAGTACAAAACGAAGGTGGTTCAAGGAGTAGTGGGGAACCGGGTGCGGGACAGTGAGGAGGGGAGTGACCCGAGGCCATGACGGAGGAGGGCAGTTCCGGAGGACTTCAAAAGGGGAGGCACGCCCAGCAGGCTGAGTAGCCTGTCTGCCCTCCGAAGTGAGGTGTGCAAGCAGTGGGCACCTCCAGGTGGTAGGTGGGGTCACAGTACTCACTCCAGGGGTTGCTGCAAGAGCCAGGTGTGAGGGAGGGAGGAAGCAGCCTCTCCTCCCTCCAGGAGGAGCCTGCCAGCTGCGGCTCCCTTCCCCCACCCCTTCCGGTGGAGCAATTACAGGATTGAAACAGGCTGTGCCCTGGAACCCAGCCGACTCTCCAATCACCACAATCTCTTGAACCCCAATCTCTGGATTCTGGGTGGTGGCCAGATGGCTTGGGAGGGATCCCGGTCCTCTGGGCTTCCCAGGGCTCTTCCCCAGGTCCCTGGAGGATGTGGGGGGCTCCCAGGAGCACCTAGCCATGCCGAGAGTTAAAGAGGCAAGGTTATCTATTCTTTCTTCACCATAAAACACAGAGCCAGAAGGGACATTTGAGGTCATCCTCATGGAACCAGCCACTCAGTCTAGAAGCCTTGATCTAGCATCCCAACAAGATGGCCTTTCAGGCTCCACTTGGATACCTCCAAAGATGGGGAGCTCACCACCATAAATCTGAAAACTGTTGCATGGGACAGGTTGTAAATTCTGGAAGTTGAACTAGAGGCATTACATGGACTAAGTCATATTAAAATCATGGTCAGCCAAAAGCAGACCTTGTTCTTCCACAGGAATTAAACCAAATCTGTACCACAGACAGGCAGTGTGCGAGGGGGAAGCCCCATAGGGATTCTGGACCAGAAACCCCTGTTTCAGTCTTGACGCCACAACTCACCAGATGGGTGGTTTGTCTAATCATCTCCACCTGTTGAGCTTTAATTTTCTTATCTGTAACTCAAACTTCACAGACCAATAGCATAGTCAACACTTGAAATGGATGGCCAGTACCGAGGAATGAACTTTTTAAAAATTAATTTAAATTAAAATTATAAAGCTTGCATTACTTTTACAAACATTTTAATAAGCATTTTTATATTGATTTCACATTGAAATGATAATATTTTGGATGGACTGGGTTAACATATTCTTAAAATTAGCTTCACCAAAAAGAATTTCACCTGTTTCTTTTTTAACTTGACTCCTGGAAAATTTTAAATTACAAATGTGGCTCACATCATTGTGTAGGGCGGCGCTGGCCTGGAATATTAAGGGTCAAATTAGGTGGCTGTGCAGGTGCATGGGAACAGCTCGGCTCCAGACAAATTAGGGTTTCTGTGGCTGCCAGGTGCTCAAGCGCTTGTGTTTTATGTCACACAAGCAAGACCTGCTCATTGAAGAAATAAGAGAGAATGTGGGAAAATATTAAAAACAAAACAAAAATTACCCTTAATTCCACCACTCCAAAACAGCCACTATTAAACTTTCAAGACCTGGCTGGTGTGGCTCAGTGGATTGAGCACCGGCCTGTGACTCAACGGGTCGCTGGTTTGATTCCCAGTCGGGGCACATGCCTGGGTTGCGGGCCAGGTCCCCAGTAGGGGGCGTGTGAGAGGTAACCACACATAGATGTTTCTCTCCCTCTCTTTCTGCCTCCCTTCCCCTCTCTCTAAAAATAAAAATAAATTTAAAATCTTGAAAAAAAAAAAACTCCCTAGAGCTTCTTTCTATGCACGTCCATGTGACCCAACACTTTTTGCAAACTGGCCTACCAGCTTTAGGGTCTCAGAAAGGTCACCCAACAGTTTAGTCCAAAAGTCTGGGACCTCAAGGAGCCGCCATCAGCTAATGGCAGAACCTGGAAACTCCTTCCTTATTACTGAGCCCCGGAGTGGGCACCAGCCTGGCGGGGGAGCTACTGCCGGAAACTCCCTGCCCACCTGCTCCCACCTCCGCTGGTCACCACTCTCTTCAGGCAGATGGAAACCCGTTCCATTTCGTGGGGAGAGGGAAAGGTTCCAGAGTGGGGCTGCTGGGGTCCTGGGTGGTGGAATTCTTCCCGTGGTATCCAGCGGCCCTCTCCTTCCCAGAGCCCCTGGGTCAGGGGCCCCTTCTTGCTCCCTCCCTACACTCCCTCCCAGCCCACGTCCAGGTCTGTCCCTGACTCGGCACCGCCCCCACATTAGACTTCTCCCTCCTCAGTGTGACCCTTGGACCCATTCAGAAATCTGATTTCCGCCTGCACCGTCTCCTGCACAACCCCTCACGTATGTCTGTGTGTCTGTCTGGACACAGACCCGGAGGGGGGTCTCCATCAGAGGAGCCCCAGGAGCCGCAGGGCTCCCTGCAGAACCAGAAGCTATCTTGTACCTTGCTTTCTCCTCTTAGCATCAGACAGGAACGTCTTTCTGACAACACATCACTTCTACTGGTGGCTTAGAACTCCCCTGCTTGACTACGTCATTACTGCTCATCCAATGGCATCGCAGTTTCTCGAGTGGGCCCCAGAGTGTTGCTCTTAGAAGTACCATATCAGTGATCCTCCTGACATACTTCGTTTACTTTCATATTCTCACATCTAAGAAATTCTCAGATCTCCCTTCCGAGTCATCCAGCAGGTTCTGCGAGATGAGTTGTGCTGGACCCCTCGCTCCCCTGGCTCCCTCGGCCTGGCACTCAAGGCCACCACACTCCTGAGGTTAGTCTGTCTTTCCTGCCTCACATATCACCAGGCCACACATGTGACTGGAGCTCTGATCTCATTAAATATTTTGGTGTGTCCACGTCTGCCTTCCTCTCAGCCTCCCTGTTGGCTTCTGCGGTCCCAGTGCCTGGCACATCTGCCCATCTCCAAATCTGCCCCATCCTCCAAGAACCCACTCAAATGCCCCCTCTTCCAGGAAGCCCTTCGTAGCTCTCCAAGCGATAAGTAATCCCTCCCTCCTCTGCATAAAGATAGCACAACCTGGCCCTCTCCCTTATGGCACTGATGTGACTGTCCACCTTGTCCACTGGTTACTTGAGGCTACTTGTGTCCCCAGTGTCTATGTCTGTCGCCTTCCCCAACCCCCTACAGAGCAGGAGCTAGTTGAGTTCGGGGACTGATTCTGACTTCTTTCTGTGGGCTCAGGGCATGGCATAGAGTGGGCACAAATGAAGGAGGACACATCTGGAGCTGGGCTCTGAGTTCTGGTCCAGTGGGCCACTAGTGTTCTGTGTGACCTGGGGCAGGTCCTCTCTCAGGGTCATGGCTTCTCTGTGGCCCGAAGTAGTGGGACCTTGCTGTGGGGGATTTGTGGCCAGGGGACCGTTTGGCCCTGGGCTGATGTGCTGGGCCCGGCCTGGGGATAATCTCTCTCGTGGACAATGATTGCAGAGCGGCCCCCCATTATCCCTGGCCACATAATCTCATAATAAGCCCTTCAGGATTTATGTCTGAGACCCACCCTGAGCCCATCTCTAACATATGGCATCTTGGCAAACAGCAATGAACAGAGATTGTAAATATTAACTCATTCACTCATTCATTCACTCATCCACTCTCTTCTTGCTTCAGCAAACTGCTGCCAAGCTGTATCCTGCTGAGTCCTGTGCCTGGCTTTGTGAACCCAGCTTTGAACCAGAACTAGGCCCAGCCCTAGAGGCACTTCCAGGAAATAGCAACTTAGTAAGGTGGGCCCAGGACAGACGGCAGCACAGGGGTTGTGGGAGCCCAAAGAGGGGCTGCCACCCTGCCTGGTAGTCAGGGAAGGCTTCCTGGAGGAGGACAACATTAAACTGTGTCTTCACAGAAGAGTGAGCCTTTGCTACCGCAAGCAGGAAGGGTTGGGGAGAGGCTAGTGCTCCACCTCATGCTGGATGCTGCCTGCTGTGGCCTATTGATAAGAGGAGCAGGAAAAGGGCAGGATTATCCATCTTGTTTACATGATTAAAACCAGACGAATACTTCCTTTATCTGAAAGAATGAAAGGGCTTGGGGGAAAATCCTTTTGGCAGCAAAGCCACGCATGAGCATCTCCTTAACTAATCTCTCATTCCCGCCTGCCCTCCCCCCTCCCACAGCCATGGGAAGAGTAGCTCCGGGCTGGCCTGCACTGGTGGGCAGAGAGTCCAGGTCAGGGTGAGCAGGGGTCGGGCAGACCCAAGAGGAGAGAGACCCACAAGCCACCTCAACACAGCCTCCCACAAGGGGTCTGGGCCCGGGCACTAACCCAAGATGGCCAAAGGGTGGCACCTCTCAGGGAAAATCTAACCATGCCCCCACTTTAGAGATGGGCGTCCTGAGGCCCAAAGATGGGGGACTGACCTGCTTGCCAGCAGGCAGAGCTAAGACCAGGACCCAGGCCTCGGACTCCCGGCCCGGGGCTCTGACTCACTCACTCACCGCTCATTCCTGAGTTCATTCAGCCAGCCTACAGTAACCACCTATGTGGTGGCGGCACCCAGAGCTCATGCTGGGCACTGGGGACCCACAGAGGAGTTCGATCTGTCCCTCTTCTCGCATGTCCTCGGTCTGGTAGGAGAGACAGACAAGCAAACGTGACGGTGACCACGGTTCTGACGGGGAGGCCTGGGGCAGCGGGAACCCCAGCGGGCTCCTCGCCCTGGGGGAGACGCAGGCAGTCCAGAAAGATTTTACCAAAGAGGTGGCACCAAGCTCAGTCTTATCGAGGGAGTAGGACTTGGGCAAGTGACAGAGCTGATCAGAGGACATGAAGCAACGGCAATGGCACCTGGAAAGGCCCAGCGGTGGGTGGGGAAGGACTTGACCCTGCCATGGGAGAAAGAGCAGAAGGGAAGGAGAGGCTGGAAGGAGCCACACAGATTAGACTATGGGGGTGTGGGTTTCCGTGCCTGCACACTCCCAGGAGCGCTGTGAGAGCACAGGGCAGGGCCGGGAGGGGCAGCCAAGGTGGGCGAGCCCAGGGCCTGCCCACCCCCAGACTGCGACCCACATCTTCCTCCCAGCCTGATATCCGGCCTCGCCTCTCTGGACGCCAAGACCTCCAGCCGCCTGGGCATTCTCACTGTGGCATACTACCTGTGGACCACCTTCGTGGCGGTCGTCGTGGGCATCGTCATGGTCTCCATCATCCACCCAGGCAGGGCGGCCCAGAAGGAGGAGACGGAGCAGAGCGGGAAGCCCATCATGAGCTCAGCCGATGCCCTGCTGGACCTCATCCGGTAACCCTCACCACCGACACCCTGCTGGGGAAGCCGTCCTGGGCCGGGACCAGAGGGCAGGGGAAGGTGTGGGGGGAGCGCATGCTCAGGGTCTGCTCTTGATTTCTCATGGGGCCGCCATGGAGGCCGCTCTGTGCTGCTTCAGCCCTTGTGCTCCCTCTGGGCTCACACTGCACCTTCCGCCCCCACCAGTCTGAGAGCGCCTCCAGGGCAGGACAGGGCTCCTCTGCCATCCCAGACCCGGCACCCGGCTTGGCTCAGCGAGTGTTTGCTGACTGACTGAGCTCACTAGTGCACACCCCGCCTCTCAGGTGGAAAGCCAGCAGTCACAGGTCCCCCCCTTTCCTTTTTGGTCCCTTTTTTACAGGCCTGTCTGACTCCAAGTGTAGGGCTTTCTCCCCCGGTGCTGCCCCTGCACAGGCTCTGCTAATCGTTTGTTTCACAGACCCATGCTCGCCTCCCGGGAAAGTGCCGTAGGCCCTGAAGCACCTCCACGTCTGACTTGCCCTCCCCAGATTCCCGATGGACCACTCCCTTTCCTGAGGGTTTCCTCACCAACTCTGGCCTGAGCCAGGACACTCAGAGCTGCCCTAGACCCAGAGGAGAGAAAAACCCATGACTAGATACAGGCAACATGGGGGTGGGGCTCTGATGGGGAAAACAAGGGTGGTGGGGGAGGGCAGGGGGAGGAGCAGGGGCAGAGGGGGCAAAGCTGCTGCTGTAAAGGGTGGGGCGGGTGGGAGGGCAGGGGAGGCAGGGACACACAGCGGTGCAGGCCCTGGGCTGAGGGGAGAGTTGTGGAGAGAAATCATAGCTCCTTCAGTGTGACTGGGCATGAGGAGTGCAGTGGGTAGGGGACAGGAGGGGCCGGACAATCACGGGACAAGGTGATGGTGCTGGACCATGAAGAACATGGTGAACCAGGCCAAACATCATGTTTTATCCTGAAATGGGTTTTAAATATGGGAAGAGCATGATCTAATTCAGGAGGCTCACTGAGTGGGGGGCAGGGAGGAGAGGGACATGGAGGCAGGGACACGGCCAGGGTAGCGGCCATGGGCATGGGTGAAGAGGGCAGACTGAAGGGCTGCTCAGGAGGTAAAATCAGCAGGAGACGGGCAAGACAAAGGGGAGGGTGGAGGAGATGGTGCTGATGGCATGAAGGTGTCAGGTCTGAGCACCCAAGTGGACGGCGGTGTGGTCACCAGACCAGAGGACAGTGCCAAAGCGGGACATCCCGGGGGAGATGCCTGCTGATGGTTGGCTAGTGCGTGCGCCTGGTGGGACAGTCGGACCTGGAGAAGGAGTGCGGGAAACCAGCAGGGCAGAGACGATAGGCAGACCCTGGTCGCTGAGGGGTCTCCCCGCACAATGTGGGTGAGGGGGCGGGGCGGGACGGAGCCCGGAAGCACCCGTGGGAAGCCATGTATTGGGCTCAGCAGGATTCCGCATCAGACCTGCTCTGTGGACTCCTTCTAGTCCCTTTTATTTTCTTGCCAGACTCAGATGTAAGAAATCCAGTCCAGTCTAATATTAAAACTCCAGACTCACCGAGTTAACATGAATCCTGTCTTAGCGTTTTGCATCTGATTCAAACTGGGAAACCTGGAGTGGGGAGAAGGTCATAGTAGGTTTTTCTGTTTCTAGCGCCATCTGCTCCCCTGTTGCTGGGACCAGGGCTGGAGTAGTGGAGAGAGACCAGAGAGTGGGCTAGAAGGTCCTCCCCCAGAGGCCGCGGAGCTGGGAGCTGGCGTAAGCACTCCCAAGTTGCATTTCTTCAGGGGTGCTTCTGGGGGTCTTTGGAGCCCCTCCTGTCACTGGCGTCTTCCCTGTCATTCCCTTGACTTGGGCAGTCCCGGCTCCATCTGGCTGCTTCTAACGCTCTCCTCAGGCCTGACCTCTGGTCAACTCCTCTGCGGGTCATCTCACCCCCCTGGTTGACCCCTTTAGGCAGGGTCCACGTCTGGTCCATGGGAAGCACACAGATCTTTGCTGGAAGTTCAGGCCTTTCCCAGGGCCTTTGGGTGTGAGTCAGGCGCCAGCCCCGACACTCCAAAAACCCTAAGGAATGACAGTCCCCTCCTCCCCTGTGGGGATAGAGGCCCAGCATGCAATTCTCTCTCTTCCCCTCCTTGTCTGCCTTTCTTTCTTTTTTCTTTCTTTCTCTCTCTTTTTCTTTTCTTTCTTTCTTTTTTATTCCTTTTTTTCTCCTTTTTTCTTTCTTTCTCTTTTCTTCTTTCTTTCTCCTTTCTTCCTTCCCCTCTCTCTGTCCCTCCCCCCAACCCCCTCCATCCATTATTAATTGCTGTGTAACAAACCCACCCAAGACCTAGTGGCTTAAAATGACAGCTCAGGCTCTCTAAATCAGCTGGAAGGTTCTGTGCCTGCAGACAGCTGGTTACTCACCTGGGGAGCAGCTGATGTAAGGCAATCTAGGCAGATGAACTCCCGTGGTCTCTCATCCTCCAGCAGGCCAGCCTGGATTTTCTTCCCGGTGATGACAGGATTCCAAAAGAGATCAAGGCTGGGCGTGTTCTGATGAGGAAGGTAGAGGATCATGTGTTTTTCCAAGTCTCTGCTTCTGTCAAGTCAGTTAACGTCTTTTTTAAATTTTATTTTATTTTAATTGTTCAAGGTCAGTGAACGCTTTATTGGCCAAAGCCAGCCACACGGCCAAGCCCAGACTCAGATGAGAGAGGACCACAGTATCACCAGGCAAAGGGCGTCCGTGAAAGGGAGCCACCGATGCGAGCGGTCTACCGCTGCCTCGCTTTCCCCGTTCTCTGGGTTCTCTTTTATCCGTTGAGGCATGTGACGAACTACAGATCACAAACATACTTGCAATTTTGTTCCTGTCACGTGGTTCTCAGCCACAGGGTCTAGAGCCAGAAGGAGACCAGGCAGGGTGTGTGGTGCCCTCGCTTACTTGCCTGGTGATTTCATCCCGTACCGTGACGATGAGTACTTTCTGTACCCCGAGGCTGAAAAATTTTGTCTCCAGCCTGGAAATGTGTCGCCTGCACTTCAGATTCTTACATACAGTTGTCTAAAGGCATCTCAGAACTAACACGGCCAAAGCCAGGCTCTTGATTTCCCCGTAAATCTGCCCTTCACTCAGTCCTGCCCCCCTTGGTCTGGTTTCTCTCATTCTCTCCTCTCCTGCCCTCAGTTTGTCTGCAAATTCGCGCGGCTGTACCTTCAATACAATGTCCGGAACCTGTCCCTCCTGTCCCCCTCTGCCACCCCCACCATCGCCCGGACCACCACGCCCTCTCACTCCGGAGTCCGACGAGGCCGCCCTCTTTCTCTCCGCTTCCCCACAGTCTGATGTCAGCACAGCAGCCAAAGGGATCCTTTGTAACACCCGCTCACAGCCCACTGCACGACAAAATCCAGTGTTTTCTGTGATCTACAGCCCCTTTGTGAGCCCCCGCAGCAGGCAGGTCGGCGTCTGACCTCTGCCGACTCCGCCTGCCCTCACCCAGCCATGCCGGCGGCCTCCGCGCCCCTCCTCCAGGTGTCACTAGGGTCCTGTCTGCCTGCCCTGTCCTCATCGCTGCCTCCTGCAGGAGGCATGCGGCCTTTCTCTCCCTCCATTTACACCTCGGCTCTGTGTCACCTCTTCACAGGGACCTCCCAGCCTCTGTCACTCTCTCCTCGTAGCCTTTATGACTACCTAACACTGTCATGTCTGTGGACTTCTGTATTTCTCTTTCTATCTCGCCCACTGGAACAAAATGCGCTCCAGGAGGGCTAGAGTGTTAGAAACCCCACGTCCCGCGATATCCTGGTGCCTAGAAGAGCAGCTGGCACAGAGGACGGCACGGTGTCCGTGGGATGTACACGTGGGATGTGGGGGCATCGGTGGAGTTGGGGTTTGAACCCACTGGACAAGAGGGACCACCCAGCGGGAGGGTGCTGAGCAGGCAGCCCTGAGGCCGGCGAGTGGTGGCCCACAGCCACCCTGGGGGGCTGCGGAGCTGAAGGCAGCAGCAAGTTGAGGGCCTGGAGGAGGGCAGGGAGAGCAGATGTCCTGTAAGCCAGGGGAAGAGGAATTTCTAGACGTTTCCATTCTAAGGTCCGTTATTTCTGAGAGGTGGTGACTATGATTCATCGCTTCTTGGATTCTATGATTCGAAACAGTTTTCCCGAGTGGTGGAAAGTGATGGTGGGGGGCCCCACCCTCCCGCCACTGCCTCCGCTGCGCAGGGGCCGAGGGCTCCGATGGGGCACGTGTGTCCGAGTCAGACGTTCCAGGGGCAATTCCTGCTCTCAGCTCCTTTGTACGTGGTGAAAGTTGATCCTTCTGGTTTGAGGCTTTTCTCCCAGTCGCTCTCAACCCCAAGGCAAGTTGCTGTGCAAAGCTGGGTGGCTGTCACTGTTTCTTAGAGAATGCAGCTGCAGAGGATGACACATGTTCCCTGGGACAGAACCTTAGAGATGTGACATCTCGTCTCAGCTCTGCCTGTCAGTCACTGTGTGGCTCTAGGCAGGCCAGCCCCACTCTCCGGGCCTCAGTTTCCCCAGTGGTTTTCAGAATCCCTTCTAACTCTGGGTTCTGAAACCCACAGGCCTCCAACCCTGTGAGGAGGCTGCAGGCCTGAGCCGAAGCTTCTGGAGGTGGGTTCTGGGAGATGAGGTCAGGAGCAAAGGGCAAAGCTCAGCCTGAAGACCTTGATTCCAGGCTGGGGGCTGGGCTGTCATGCTTAGAAGCAAGAGGCTGGTGAGTGTGGGGAGGACAGACTGGAGCAGGGTGGAGTACACAGGGGGTGACTGGACACACAGGGATACCCTGGGGGCAGGCGCGGGTTGCAGGTAATTCCGTTCCCTTCAGCCCACCTTTATTAAGTACCTGCTCTGGGGGAAGACATTGTGCTGAGAGTTGGGGGTGTGGGGGTGAATGCAAGCCCCTGCATCAGGTCGCCCAGCATCTTAGGACAGACAGATGAGAAGGGCACACTGGACAGCCACTCTCTGAGACCCTCGCTGGCCCTGGTGTTGCCAGAGGCTGTGTGTACAAGGACACCAGCAGCGGGGGCACCGGGGCCCCCTCACTCTTGTTCTGGCCCAGAGCCGATGCCTACCAGAAGTTGAAAACCGAGCAGTAACAGGATGACCAGGTCAGGGAACTGGGAACTGGTGGCAGGTGTGACAAATGAAAAGTCAGGAGGATGTGGGGGCCATCTGAGTGGGGAAATAAGGCCCAGGGCCCCCCTCGGGGTGGGAAGGTGGGCGTCCCTCTCTCAAAGGTGATTCTAGACGAACATGGCGGGCTGTGTCCCTAGATGCCTCGCCATGACCTGAATCCCTTTCCCAGGCTCCAGAAAAGCGGCGTCTGCTCACAGGGCAGCTGACAGAGAAACCCAAGCAGAACACTAATTGGAGCTTCCGTTCCTTCTCCCCCCCACCCCAATCTTATTAAAACGCCAGAGAGATTAAGTAATGATTTGGCACTGCGTAGAGCTCCCAGTTACCCTCTCGGGGATTGGACGAAGCTCCTGGAGCTGTGCTTGGGGAGGAAAAATCCCCACCTCTGGGGCCTGGGCTGGGGACACGGGGTGAGGGTGAGCTTGGACTGTCACAGTGGGAGCTTATATACAGTAAGTGAGGAGAGGAGCCAAGAGGCGCACTGTGGCCTTGCCCCGAGAGACGGGCTGGCAGGCCCGGGAGAGAGCAGGGTGTGCGCACTCCACGGCCGTGGCGTCTGTGTTTAATGTAACTGCCTGCAGGAGCTCAGGCCGCATGGGGCAGGCGCAGGCCGCCTGTGGGTGTTCAAAAGCAAAACAAGGTGCACATTTTCCCATTTCATAATCAAAAGTCGACTATCTTTTCAAAAAGATTTTATTTATTTATATTTAAGGGAAAGGAAGGAGAAAGAGAGGGAGAGAAATGTAGATCAGGTGCCTCTCACACGCCCAGCCAGGGACAAGCTTACCCTGGATCTGCAACCTGGCACGTGCGCTGGCCGGGAATCTAACCAGCAACCTTTCGCTTTGCGGATGGTGCCCAACCCACTGAACCACACCGGTCAGGCCAAAAATAAACTCTTTATTCAAATCTGCAGGACACGTTCATTGAGAATTAGTAGGAGCACCTGCATTAGTCAAGCGTTGTTTTTGGCTGCTAGTTAAGAAAAACTTGAACCAGCAGAGGCTTAAGTCAGGTAAAGGCTTCGTTGTCCCCCAGACAAGCAGCCCCAGGGGGCGCCACTCGTGGTCATCGGGTGTTCCCTGCACCTTTGTGCTTCACTGCGCTCAGCATTCAGCTTTTATCATCCATGTGTCTCATGGCCCAATAGGGCTGCTGAAGCTCTGGCTATTATGTCCATGTTCCAGGCAGAGTGAAGACAGTTGGAGGAAAGGGCCAAAGAGTCCTGGCTGAGTGGGCACCTTTTCAACAGTTCTCTAGAAAACATCACCCAATGACTCCCTGTTAGATCTCATTGGCCACCCCTTTGGCCAGAGAGGCTGGGAAGCAGGGCTGGACGGCAGGGCCTCGCTGCCCCGTAACATGCCAGGGCTTCTGTTCGGGAAGGAGGAGAGGGGACAGAGACTGGTTAGGCGACGAGCCACGCCTGCCACAGAACTCATTTTAAGTTATTCTCCTTTTGCAGGAAGTTCTAAAGAAATGCACGTACTAGGCATGTTCCATTCTGTTTCTAATGACCTTCTGAATGTTCTTAGTTTCTACTCAGGCTGAGGCAGCTTTCCTCTAAGTTACATTAGAGACCCACCTTAGAAGTCACTTGAACCTCATGGAGCTGTACCCGGGGGAGCTTTTCAGGCTGTCAGCAACCTGTACAGCGTGGGCACCGTACACTCCGGTCGTGCGTGCCCTGGGCCAGTGGCCCGTGGCCCTCTGGCAGGCTGTGTGCCCGGCGGGTGCTTCCGGTCTGCTTGATGTCAGAGCCCTGGCAGCAGCTACTATTCTGGCGGCAGAAGTCTGCTCACAACTCACTGGGAAAAGCCCCACTCAGGCTTCTGAGAGCTCGGCTCCCGACTCTGCTTCTTTCCTCCTGGTGGCAAAGCTGAAAGCAGCGGGAGAAGCTGTGACCCTTCTCTCCCAGTTTTCTGGCTCCGTAACTCATTCTAAGCCTCTTCCTCTGGCCATATGCTTACCCTGAATCTACTATATCTTAGCAGCAGGGAAAAAATGGATAGTTTCTGCTTCCCAACAGTGGCTGCTGGGGTGTAAAGTTAAGAAAAAATGCACACTCGTATTTACCTGTGTAACTCGGTCTATCTGTGAGCCGAGCTTTGGAAGAGAAGAGATTTGCCAAGAAGACTGAGTGGGAGGGAAGACCAGGGTACAGGGGGCAGTGTGAGGTTGCCAGGAAGGGCAAGTGCATGACCAAGAATCTTTGTTAGGATCCCTGATTTAGACCAGGTCCCTGGAAGCAGCGTGTAAAGACAACGCATTTAAGCCCTTCGATATGGGCTGCAAATGGCTGCACAGAAAGGTGGCTGCCAGGACCACATGAGGGGCCCACATGTTTTCCGCATTATGTACTATGGTGTGAGACACTCTTTACCAGTTTGATGGTGGAGGTGCCTTTAATTCGTCGATGAAGCCGAACACTTTCAAAAAGCTGTTGGAGCTACTTGGGTTTCCTCTTCGGTGAAGCGCAGTGCCTGGTTATGACTTTCGATTGTTTTTCTTACTGGGGTATTCATGTTTCTGAGGTCCATTTATTTATGCAGCAGCAAATATGTGCTGGGCGCCTGTTCCGTACCAGGCACTCTTCCGGGAGCCGGGAACGTAGCAGTGACAAGACACAGACCTCTGCCTCCAGGGAGCGGGGTCTGCTGAGAGGGGACAGACAGTGAGGGCGGAGACAGGGGCAAGATTTGTAAAACCTGCATAGATATAAGACGGTAACTCTGTCCTATGGCTTCCTCAGCTCGTCACAGGCTTTAGAATTGCAGTCTGTCTTAGTGAGCTTCTTAATGTTATTAGCTTTTTATGGTAACCCAGTGTTAGGTTAACAGAAAAACTGCAATAAGATTGTGCGGGTTCTCCAAGTGCCCCTCACCCAACCTCCTCTGGGGTCAGCACTGGTATACCCGGCAGCTTTCAAAACTGAAACCGAATTAGTGCAACACTAACTGAATTAAAGACCTGCTTTGGAGTTCACCAGTTTTTCCACTGATGTCCTTTTCTTCTGCCCCAGAACCCAATCCAGGATATCGTGTTGCACTTAGGAAATTCTTAATTTCTATGTGGTGACATCTGTTCATTTTTATTGCTCCTTTTGTTCTCAGTCCTCCCATAGCCTATGATCTGATAAAACATTAATCTATATTTTGTTTTAGTTTTTTATGGGTGCATTTTAAAATTATTTATTTCTTTAAACCATCTGGGATTTATTTGGGTACAAAGTGCAAATAAGGATCTAACTTTTATTTTTCTGAAGCGTTGGTTGGCTGCACAGTTGTCTATAGTGAGTTTATCTTTTCTTCCCTGATTTGTGAAGCAACTTTTGTCAACTGTGAAATGCTAGATGGCCCAGTTCTGTTTCTGGGCTACAGGTTCCATTACATTGGTTTTTCTTTGGACGGCTGTGCCAGCTTCTCCCTGTTTTGACAGCTACATCTTTATAGTATTTTTCATATCTGGTGGACAAGACTCCCTCCTCCTTTAGCTTTATGAAAATAAAGCTTCTCAATATTAATTAGAGTAGCGATCCCAGTTATGTGCCAGGTCCTGGGTTGGACACCATGAATGAGGAATGAGCGACCAAGTGCCAGCTTCAAGGATGTCAGTCTGCGGGGGGCAGCCGTGCAAGCCACACTGTGCTCTGGAAAGTAGGTGACTCAGGGGCGGGGCCCCAGAGCGGACCTGGAGCGGTGAGGAAGGCTTGAGCTCTAGTTGATGGCGTAGCAGTTAGAGAATCAGGAAGGGCACCAAACAGAAGTGACGGTGTGAACACAGGATTGATCTGAAAAGACGCGGTGCCTTTAAGGGACTGTATGCAGTTGGTGTTGGAGCTCTCGGTGCTGGGGGGTAGCCCATGGTGGGAGGAGGTGCGGCTGTGGAGAGAGGTGGGGCTGCATCAGGAGGGTCTCGACCCCCAGGGGAGGTGTTCCGATGATCCCAAGGCCCCTCCTGTCCCAGGTTCTGAAACTCTTCAACTCCTGACTGTCTTCCCAGGAACATGTTCCCGGCCAACCTGGTGGAAGCCACATTCAAACAGGTGAGTGGGTGACAGGCAAGGCCAGCCTGGGCCCAACTGGGAAATGACAGGTTTACTGGCAAGTCTCCTCAGCACCTGAGGGCAGAATGCAAGAGGGGCGGAGAGGAGGGGGAACCTGGGTCCTTAGGGCTTCCCAAGGCTGTGCCCTGCCCTGGCTTCCGGCTTTGCAAGGAGAAAAGCTGTGAGGGTGGAGCAGAGCATCACTTGTGGAGTGCTGCTCCGCTGGAGGTTTGCAGCAGGGATTACGCAGCCAATACCAGCCACAGGTAGGGCTCGGCCCTCTCCTGGGCGAGGAACTGAGGCTCAGAGGGTTAAAGGATTTGCCCAGGGATATACCAGTAGTAAATGATAGCCCCGTAGGTAAACCTAGGCCTGTCTGCTTCTAAGCCTGTTTTCTCTTTCTTTTTAAAATAGTTCTTTCCCCCTAATAACAATAGTACTAATGTTCACTATAAATATCAGGAAAAGACTAAAAAATAGAAAACAAAAGAAATCTCTAGTTTCAGCACCCAGCAATAGTCATAGTAGTTGGTATGAGTTTAGTCTTTATTCCCTCTAAATAAAATTAGGGTCAGTATGCATCTTGCTTTTCCCCCGCCCCCATTATATGTAAGCATTTTCCCGAGCTCTTAAGTATTTTGAAAAACAAGATACTTGTGGTGGTAAGGCTAAACTGTAATTTATTTACCCATCTCCCTTTTGGTTTTCAAAGTTTTGCCCTTCTAGTAGATCTTTCTGCACCAATAATCTGCACCCCCGGTAGTTTCTAGTTCTTTTCCCTTCTAAAATGTTGGCTGCTTGGTTGACTTAATCCAGCAGGCATTTCCGGACCCCTGTCCCCGTGCCGGGCCCTGCCTGGGGTCTGGGGACACAAGGAAGGGGGCTGGGGGTTGGAGAGGAGACTCCCAAATAAAGAGCTGTGAAATCTGGAGCTATTTTTCCTGACTTCTTGGGTCTTCAGTTAAGAAATGAGCCAGAGAGGGAAGGGCCCTAAATGCTAGACTAGGAGCTCGGACATAATTCCGCAGTGACGGAGATCACTGACACTGTGAGAGAGAGAACATCACTCCGCTCCATACCTGCCTGGAATGCCCTTCATCTTTCGGCAAACTCCTTCCTATCCTTCAAGCCCCAGGTCAAATGCCACCTTCTCTGTGAAGCTGCGAGACTCCCTCAGGCAGAGTGTTATCACTCCTTCTCCAAGGCTCTCGGAGGAGACTTCACGTCTGGGTCATTTTTGTGTGCCCAGCACCCCACACAGAAGGTTCGGTATTGGAACGACCATGCCGATGGTGGTGATGGCAGGCACTGTTGTGAGCATGCACATGTTCAGAGTGGGCAAAGGTAGGGTTACAGTTGTGAGTACGTGAAATACAGAGTTTGCTCTTGTGTTATTATTCTTAAAATTTCTCCAGATGAACAACTTAAACCTACTTTGCCCACTACTGTTATTGAATCTAATGAGGGAGACACCGTGATGACCCTCACTGCACAGGTAAAGACACTGAAGCCCAAAACTTAGGTCGCATGTACTTCCAGAGGGGCGCCTTCCCCCTACCCAGGGCTTACCTGGTGAACACGGTGGTGGTGGGAGGGTAGGAGACGCCCTGGTTTGGGGTCCTAGGAACTGTAGCATGAGAAGGAAAGGCCGGGAAATGCCCTGGGGCAGAGGAGGAAATGCCGGCAGCTGGGGGCTCGATTCCTCAGAGCTGGGACCCCATCGCATCGGAAAGGCTTGGGGCAAGTGGAGCCTTTCAAATGCAAGCAAAAGTTGGAGCCGCTGCAGGCCAAGTTCCACACCACCACAGTAAAACGAGTACTGCAGTGAAACAAGTAATAATGTTTTTGCTGGTGGAGGGTTTTACTTTCTATTGGAAACAACAGCAACAAAAAACACAACACCTGCAAAGGGCAGTGAAACGAGCTGCAGGAACACCAGGTGTGCCCACGTAAGGTCCAAGTGTCCATCAGTGGAAGGCGGGGCCGGCTGACCACTAGATGGATGGACATTGGATGGTTGGCAGGGACGGATGGGTGATGGAGAATTGCCCAGGTCGAGGAAGACAGAGACAGACAGATGGTGAGGGAGGGACCGACAAGGGTGTGAGGGTGCCTAGAAGGAAGAAGAGGGAGAAGGATGGAGAGAGGCGCTGCTGGCCATGTGTGTAGGTGAATGAAGGAATCCATTTTCTTTTTGGTAAAATATTGATAATAATCCCTGACCTGCCTACCTTACAGGGTTATTGTCAATCCAATAGTTCATGAGTGGATACAAATGTGCTTCCTAGATGTTTTATTTTTGTTGTTGTCGATACCAATAACCACGCTGGCCCTGACCCCTTCCTGGTTGGGGTGTCGCCCACCAGTACCGCACCAAGACCACGCCGGTCGTCGAGTCCCCCAAAGTGCCATCAGAGGAGCCCCCTTCTCGGCGGATCCTCGTCTACGGGGTCCGGGAAGAGAATGGCTCTCGCATTCAGAACTTCGCCCTGGACCTGACCCCGCCACCTGAGGTCATTTACAAGTCGGAGCCTGGCACCAGCGACGGCATGAACGTGCTGGGCATCGTCATGTTCTCTGCCACCATGGGTACGTGCTGCCCGAGTCCCCCTGCAGTGCTGGGGAGCTGGTCCCTCCCCGCACCTACCCCTTTCTGCATCGCTGCATCCAGCAAGCTGCATACCCTACAGTCTCCCGTCTTCCGGGTCGTGCCTTCCTTTCCCACCCAGTGGACTGGCTCCAGCACCGCGCCCCCCCCCCTCCCCTCCCCGCCCTCAGTGGAGCCGGCGTTCCTCACTCGAATTCTCCATCCCTGGGGGCCGGTGTGCCTCCTGCGGGTGGGCCCTCCCTCGAAAAAGATTATGCCCCTCCTCTTCCTGAAATTTCTACTGAGATCTGGGAACACTGGGGACTGGGGGGAGGGGGCAGTTAACAATATAAAAAAAATCAGGAAAAATCTAAAACCCATCAGCCATCACTGTCTGTTTAAAGCCCTATTCCTCCTCCCACCCACATCGGCAGGGGCTTCTCCTGGGCGGCCTCCCTCCTGAGACCTGTAGGTGCCTTTTCTCAGCCCACGGTTGGCCCACCTGACCACTCCCTTCCCTGTGCGACTCTCCCTGGGTCCCAAGACCCCCAGCCACAGGCTCGGTATCTTGAAGCTGGTGAAGCTAAACTAGCACAGGCTCCTGCTGAGGCCTGCGCCTTATTTTGTTTTTAACTTTGTATTCTTTTTCTTAAAGAGGGCCCCACACTGTACAAGCTTCAGACCCCACAAAACCCATGGATCCGTCCCTGCCTGCAGCGCCTTGGCCTGCCCCCACCACAGACACGCACACAGAACCTTTCCCTTTGGGGGACACCTCCTCTCCCAACCAGAATAATCTAGAGCTCATCCTAACCCATCACCCCAGCCTGGGAGTTTCTCTCCTGCTTCTCTGACTAATCCACACAGTTTTCTTTTCAAGTAAAAAGCCCCCCCATCCTTCTGGTTGTTCATAGCAAGAAATCTGGGGGTCATGTGCTGCCCCGCCCTCTGTCTCAGCCCACAGCCAAAATCTGAAATCCGTCTGCAGTCCCTGCATTTCCCTTTGTCTACTGCCGCCACCCTGGTCCAACGCTGCCGTCATCTCAACTGGTTTTGGCAAAGGCTGCCTAAAGAGTCCCCTCTCCTAGCGTGTCCTCCTCACGGGGTCACAAACACCCTGCAGTGGCCTCCAGTGGCTCTCCTGTCACCTGGAAAGGGGCCCGACACCCAGCGGAGCCGGCTGCCTCCCTCTCCTCTCTGCCCTCATCACTCCCCCAGCCACGCTGCCTTTCAGCTCCCAGAGAACGACTCCCTCCCCTGGCTGCACCCGCCCCCTCCTCACCCTGCCCCTTTCTCATCCTTGAGGGTGGTAGTGATGGGGGCCACTCCATAAGCATCACATCCTCAGGAAGGTCTTCTCAGCTCCCCAGATGGGTGCCCTGGGTTACTCCTTAAACTCTTGACCCGACTGCAGTTATGTAATCGTTGGTGTAATTGTTCGATGTCTGCGCAGCAGCTGGCGGAAGCTCCATGCAGGCAAAGAGGGGCCTGGCTTGCTCTCCGTTTATCCCCACAGCCTGTGCCCCACAGTGACCGGCAGGAGGGGGCCCTCAGTGAAATGCGTTGGAGAGATGGGTAGATGGATGGGTGAACAGCTGGGCAATGATGGATAATAGAGCTCTTACCGTCTTGGCCTAAACACCGGACATGCAGAGGGGCTAGACCTTAGTGACCCGAGCATGTGACAGGACAGCGTTTGGAAGTGCCCTCAGCACATCTGAGAATGAGTCCCCAGTCCTGAACATTCTTCCTACGCTCAGCCACCGCCTCTGTCATAGGGTGGAAACATACAAAACGACATCTACTGGCAGAGCAAATGAACCCCCTGAGACCCTCTGACTCAATTCACAAAGTGTTCACTGGCCACGTGTAACTGTGCGCGGGTGAACGTGGATTTGTGTGTGTGTACCCAGGGTAGTGTGTGCTCGAGCCTGTGTGCACCTGTGCCTGGCGGTGCCCACATCTGCAGTGCTTGTGTCAACACTGCCCAGGTCTGAGGTCGGTGGGCACATTGGACAGCTCCTCGCTTTGTCCCCTCAGCCCAGCCTCCCTTCCCAGCTTCTCCCTGGTGCTGGGCTGTGGCTGATGCTGGGGTCTCACTGGCCTTTGCTGTTGCAGGAAGCCCACACCCACCCTGGGTCCAATGCACGCCGGCACCCAGCCAGACAGAGCCCTCGGGTGCCCCCAGGGCAATCTAAGTGGAGGCTGACGAGGGGAGGGTCAGAGCAGGCGGGGGACCTGCGTCTGAGCTCACTTAGGTTTCCAGAGGCCAGAAGGACAGGGCTAGGCCAGTGTCACCTCCATCTGGGCCTCTCCCACCCCAGCAGGGTCCCCACTTCATCCCAGTGGCAGCTGTTCCAAAGACAATGTGGGCTCAGGGTTTCTGGGG